ACCTACAGAAGACAATGGATATGTATGTTGGTCTGCAGTTGGAGATTCATCATAGAATTCACTTGACTCACTTCTAGCAGTTTACTACTTTTTCTATACACCACTGGTGAATCTTATGTGTTCTTGTCCTAAGTATTATCGGTCATTACCAACCTTCGTTTGATTATTCTATTCAGTAACTTTACCTAGGTTACAAAATGGACAATGTAAGTTTTGTAAAGATGTATAAATACACCCACAACAGCAGATGTATTAAATTCTTTAATTGTAGAACAATGGTTTCAAATGAAATATTACTTTATTTTCGTTATTTTCTTATGATTACTCTTATATGAATTAATCTGTTCTTTCACTTCCATTTATAATAAATATAGCCGGCTTTTAATATAAATACAATTTATCAGTACAATTTTTAAGTATAATTTATCAGTACAATTTTTAAGTATAATTTATCAGTATATCTGGCTTTAAAAATCCTTAAGCTTGAATAAAATTTGAGATTCTTGCCAAAACATTCCTTTCACAATAAAAAAAACAAAAAAAAACAATCAAAATCAACTTGTGAATCAAAAAAAATCTCTTCCATTTAACTTTTTAGGTTCTGAATACTGTCTGTATCTTAAATAACACAAAAATTTCTTCTATTACGATTCGTTGGTCCCTCCCTCAAGCAAATTTAGAAGCTATCAAATTCAAAACCTGATTTTTTTTTTTTTTTTTTTTTTTTCAAAATTGGTTTTTCATTCTCATTAAGGAAAGTAATTTTTACAATATGATATTTAAAAAATATACGAAATGTTTTTTAGAATTGAAATAAATTGTTTATGACACCAGTCCCACAACTTTTTAAACAAACCTCATACATATATATATATATATATATATATATATATATATATATATTAATTAGTACATATACATGTACCTATGTTTTTGGCGTGCGACTATGGTTTCACTGGGTGGTGTTCCCAGTTCATCAGGCACAGGGTCTCTGTAGATACATGTATATGTACTAATTAATACCTATCTTTGGTCTGTATAACCACATTGAGCATTACTATGATTACACCTCATGCATAAATTTAATGATTATTTATTTGCTTGCCTGCATATACACACCAGCACATGTGTTACACACCTGCTTATATTTGACCATTTCATTTATCAACTCTATATCAAAGTATATAAAACAATACATGAAGATGTCCAACCCAAATAGAAATCAGTGCCTTTTATTTATGCCTTTATACATTTACTGAGACATACATACATATATAGGTGGTCCTTGACTTACGACAGTTTCATTCTTATGATGTATTGTAATACAGTTTGTCCATGTTAGTCGTAATGTACCCATAATTTCACTTCCGTGGAAATGACTTTCCTTTTCTTCGAAGCACCACCATCAGAAGAGGTTGGACTACACTTGGGTGCCATAGTGAAAGGCAATAAGTTTCCACAAACACTACACAAACAAAAGAGAGCAGATGCACAACAATCCAATTTAGCATAGAACCAGAAACTGAGCCATGCTGCCTTGTTTGAGGCAAACAAGATTGAGATTGTGTCATAACCACTGATCATCATAGTTCAGGACTGTCATAACCCAGGGATATATATATATATATATATATATATATATATATATATATATATATATATATATATAATGATCTCATTTAAATAGTAGTATGTGTACCTGTAGATATATATGTATGTATATTAATGTTTTCCTTACCCTCCCTCTTGTTTTCCTTTGATATATTTTTGTATATATTGTGCTTGTTTTTTTTTTTTTTAATATTTTTTATTTTTTACTGCAGCTAAAACCCTGTAAAACATTGTCACCTGTCTGTGCATGTCTACAAATCCTTCCTCTTTCCAATGTTTTTTATCCTTATTTTTATTTACTCCCATCGCCTGCCCCACCCCCCAAAAAAAATCTCTGAATAATTTTTCATTTTTGTAATAATCTTACTAGGAAAAATTTTTTCTTTACCTCCCTTCAATCTGTTAATGGTTATGTCCCTTGTGACCTTAGTTACGTCCCCTGAATTTCTATTTGTGTGGAAAATAAAACTCCCAGAGTCTGCCTTCTCCTTTTTCCAGTGGTTCCCAAACTTTTTTTTTCTCTTGGCCACATTTTTTGAATGAAAATTTGCTTGCAGCTCATCAAATTTTATGTGATAAAACATACATTTGAATATAAAAGACAGACGATTAAAGGGAGATAACTGTGTATTTGACATCAGAACATTGATAACTCTGTCCTCCAATTTGCAGAGCTTAGTTACTATATTCTTAATACTTGATATAATGCAAAAATATGACAATTATAAAATCAGTCAATAATTATTCATAACTAATTATATTAGGACTCATGCATGTAATTACAAGTAATCCATAATAATATTTAAAATTTTGAAATCATATTTATTTTTGGGATATGAATTTTTTTTAAATGTTTCTAAATCTTTGATTGTCTTTCAATCATTCTGCCTCACCTGCTATCCTCTTTCACCGCACCTTTTAGCCGTGCCGCACTGTTTGGGAATCACTGATTTAATCCAATCAAATTTACTATTTTTTATGTTTGCATCCATATATGACACTCCAAAGTCATGGTAGGTGTATAATAAGTGATTCGGGTGTGGCTTTTTCATAGATAGTGAATAGCTATTATTATAGCAAATACTTCATTCATCGCAGCCTATCCAGCCTCATTCTGGATCCATGAAGATCAAACAAGAAGACATGAACCAGTATGAAAAAAATTTATTTTTTTTTTTTTTTTTACAATGATGTTCACCCTGTACAAGTGCCAGAAGCCACTCAAGTAAGAGGCGCAATTTATGTAGATATGTGGGGAAGATAACGGTTAACCCTTGACTTGAACAGGTTAGGATTGTAGTGATTGGGAAAGCATCCTCTTGGGAATCGGTTCCACATGACAAAAAGTTGCTCAAGTGGATCTTATATCTCACCAATGGAATGATGGTGGTTCACTACAATGTGCATGGCATGGTGGGTCTTAGATGTGAAGGTGATAACTGGTGGAACTAAGGAATGTAGTTTATCTGAACACTTTTCATGGAAATAGTGATAGGGCAGCAACATTTCATCTGTGAGGAAAGAGGCTGTAGGGTGGAAAATAATTTATTACCCACAAGAATGTGGAGATGCTTTTGGACTCTATAGAGACTGGCAAGTGAAGACTGGGCACCTCCTGTCCATATACAGCAACAGTACTCCATTTTAGGTCTGATCTGCCATTTGCAAAGTGTTGTGGATTAGTTTTCACAGTAGAGGCTTGTATTTCAATAAGTCATCCTAAATTAGGTTCAACGTACAAAACGTTAGGAACTTGAAATAAGAGTTAATGACGCAGCAATCTAGTTGTGATGGTTGATACTTCAATGTCCGACATCGACTGACTCACTCAACACCACAGAGCCCAACTGGCCACTGGTACTACTACTACTTATTATCTGTGGGAGAGTCTATTACAATAGAATAGGTATTATGGTATAACACAAAGGTAGAGGATAGCAGGAGTCAGGTACTTAGTAGCATGATACAGGAAACTAACCATTTTTCCTTCATCAGTAGCGATGGAGTGTATATATGAGTTCCACATGAGGTCTGGGTTGAGTTTAAGTCCTAATAGGTGCTAAGGCATGGGGCCGCGCTGAAGGAAGATCCATCCATTGATTGGTGATAGCTCTGGGTCCGACTGGCAAGGATGGAATGTCACTAAATGTAACTTCTTTAACTGTAATCCAAATCTATTTATATAAATTGAAACTCAGTTAAATGATGCATTTTTTTTGAGGGCTAAAAGATTTTCTCAACTTGGGAGATTGGCACAAAAATATCTGTTGTGGGAAGGTTACCACTTTTGAAATAAATCAATTCAACACCTGGAGGATTTTATATATACATGGTCTGTCTGAAAGGTAACGGAACTGGGTGTGCTCTGTGTGCTATAGGCAAAAGATAGATAAGCAGATTGTGTTATGATATCTGGGGAGTATATAACAGTAATCTTGTCTTTCTGCAACCATTGTTTTTTTTTTTTTTTTTTTTTGTGGCACGAAAAATTATGGCTGCTCCACCTCAACAATGCACCTGCCCACAACGCCCTGAGCATGTGGCAGTTCCTGGCCAAGTAGAATAGTTTGTACTGGAACAACCTCCCTATTCACCTGAACTTGCTCCATGTGACTTTTTCTTTAAGGGGATGCATTTTGAAGACGTGGAGGCCATCAAGTGGGCTATAACAACAGAACTGAGAGGCATCCAAAAAGAATCCTTCCAGCAGTGTATAGAAACATGGTAGAGAAGGATGGAAAAGTGCATTAGACTCAAGGGGGATTACTTGGAAGGAGAAACCATGTAGTTTGTTTTTTAGAATTGAAATAAATTGTTTATGACACCAGTTCCATTACTTTTCAGACAGACCTCATACATACATATATATATATATATATATATATATATATATATATATATAAATTAGTACATAGACACATACCTATGTTTTTGGTGTGTGACTATGGTTTCACTGGGTGGTGTTCCCAGTTCGTCAGGCACAGAGTCTCTTTAAGTACGTGTATATGTACTAATTAATACGTATCTTTGGTCTGTATAATCACATTGAGCACTACTACGTTTATACCTCATGCATAAATTTAATGATTATTTATTTGCTTGCCTGCATATACACACCAGCACATGTGTACATATCTGCTTATATTTGGCTGTTTCATTTATCCAATATATAACATATATGATCCATTGGGATTTACTGTTCAGGTATAAAAAACATTGCAGTAAGCAATCCCTATTTTCCCTTTAAGTGATGATTTCCTTAAAAAGAGAATAGCTTACTGTGTCATTATATATATATATATATAGTGTGTGTGGTTAGTATCTAGATGGGTGACTGCTTGGTAATACCAGGTGCTGTAAACTTGGATGTTCAAGTGATATAAAAGGCTTAGGGCCATATCATGTTGAAACACCAGTTCTCATGCAATCACCAAAGTTAGGCAACATTGAGCCTGGTCATTATCGAGATGGATGACCACTTGGAAATACCAGGTGCTGTAAGCTTCGATGTGCAGGTAGTGTAATGGTTAATGGCTCAGAATTGTTAATTGGAGAGCTGAGTTCCAATTCCAGTTGGGTTTGTTATATTCACGTATGTGAGAATTTGGGAAAGGCATGAATTCACTTCTTCTCCTCAAGTTATGGGTTAATTAGTAAGAGTTATATCACTAAATCCTTATTATCTCCTCTCCACCCACCAAAAAACTTCTTACAATCAAAAAATATTTTCTGGCTTTAAATAATCTGCAAAGGGTTGATAAGCCAATGTTTCAACATGTGGCCATAAGCCTTGAATGAAATTGGAACAGACACCTCTGTCATGAGAACTAACCCCCTGGGTAACATGAAAATAATATAAGCCAAAATGTGTGACTATTGGAAGTTATTTTATGACCCATTCTGCATCTAAGACAAGTGTTCTTGACCAGGAGGGAATTTCAGGGAGAATACAGAAAAATTCTTTTACTTTTTCTTGCTGTTTTGATTCACAGAATTTAGAGCCCATCACGAGTATAAAAAAATTCCTCCATAAAAATAATCCATGTAAATGTATATGTACTAATATGGAAAAGAATGAAGATTTTCAATAATACAAGGGGCGCGATGGATAAATTGTCGTCTAAATAACACAAAAATAAAAATAACACAGACATCTCATTTTAACGGATAAATTTACCAAAATTACACAAACATATCTTGAAATACTAAAGAGTAAATTTATTCAATAAAATCGCCATTGGCTTCAAACCACAGCCTCCAGACGACCTGGGAATCTCCTGCAACTCTTCAGGACTATCTACTTGTTTAAATTGGTGAATGCTACCATAATCCTTACCTTCATTTCATCTTTGGTGTTACAAGAGGTTTTGTTGGCCTCTCGCTCAACTGCACCCCACACATAATAATCTCGGGGTTTGGAGTCTGGGAAGTTAAGTGGCCAGATGTAAGGGGTGGTTGAAGAAATTGTCTGACAGTCACGACTGGGTTCTCCTGCTTGTGTCGCATGGTGCAGAGTCCTGTTGCCAAACATAGTGTCTTCCAGCAGCCACCCTCTTGACCCAGAGCAGTACTACTCCTTAATGCAATTTATGTAGGCTTCTGTGTTGAGTCTGAGGCCCTCACCAACAAATTCAGGAGTTCTTTTCTTATCAGAATGATCAGAGTGAGTTTTCTGAGCTACTGTATCTTTGTAATCACCATTAGACTCATCCAACTCTTTCCACATCCTCTGCAGTGTGCTCAGATTGACACCTAAACATTCTGAAAATGTTTGTATTGGAGTTTTCAGCATGGATGCCAAGCAGTACAGCATGCCATTTCCAGATTTCTGGCAGAGTGAATTGCATCATGATGCTCTTTTTCTCACAGATGGTGCCCAACTGACCCTACTATAGTGTGCAATCAACCAAATCAAAAATGAACAATGCACATGTGCAAAATTAAAAATATAAAATGACGACAATTTACCCAGTGCACCCTGTATGTCTATTATTTGCATTTGGGCAATGTTGAAAAGGGATGACATTTTGACATATGGTGAAAAGTGTGCATTGGATGAAAAAGTTTGAGAATGACTGAACTAAATGGAACATATTTTCTTAATAAATGTTTTCCTATTTAAAATACAACAATTTTAAATCTTAAAATTTAATCATTTTACTGCCAGCTTGGTTATCAACAGATTCCTTTCCTTTATCATCAGTGAAATGTCATGACGTCATGTCAAAGAAAGATCATAGACTAATCTCCCATTGCTTTCTCCACGGTTTGGAATCAAGAATTTTCCTTCTCTTAGACTGGTTTCCAACCAAGGCTAAAATGGGGTGATTAGAGCCATGATAATACATGATATTTATTGATAGTTTATGATAATTACATAAAGTTTATGATTAGTGTGAAGTCACATGCAACCAGACAAACTGGGTGACAGCTTTTGAAAAGAATGAAACACAACAATCAGTATTATTTACATATATTTAATATCCAAAGAAAAAGATGTTTGCTGACAATATGCAGCTGTGAATTTATCTATTGGGAAACGGTGTCTGAGTATTTTGTCAACAGTACTCGTTAAAGAAAGCTCTGGCTAGCTTCTGGATGTAGTATTAATTTCTCCTGAAGTTGCTGGCTTCATTCTTCCGTAACCTGGTTTTATTATCTAGAGCTAGTACAGCCATGTTCAGTGCTGCTTAAATAACATTGTAAAAAGTGTATGCCCTGATCATTTATGAATATCTATGCTGATAATACAACAGTTTATAGGTGCACCTCCAAAACCCTTGATCATCAGAGCTTGGCAGCTGATCTCTCCTCTGATCTAGCTCTAATATGTCAGTGGCAGGGCAGGGGTGGTGGTGGAAGTAACTAAATGTTCGTCCACCAAATGTCCGAGTACCGTGACTATCCTTTGTTGTAGCTTGTGTTATAGACAAGCGTATGGTTGCAAGAAAGAAATATGACAACAGAAGAAATAGATTTACGAGATTTATTTCAACATTAACGTGATGGTTTGGGACAGCTACCTTGTGGTATAGTTCATAAGCCTGCTTCAGATCTAGGTCGATCTCTCATAGTAGTTCACACAGGTTGATGCTGGTGCTCCCCTGCTGACAGCTGCTGATCGCTCGGCCTGACCGTGTCAGGTCTCTTCCCTGGCCACCTGTTGACTGCCTGTTGTACTTCCCTGTGACCCCTTTTATGGCGTTTTTTATGGCTTAACAGTCTCAAAAAATGAAGCGAGTTAGGAGGGAAGCATTTTTATTGGATGAAAAATAGAACACTTTAAATATTACTTTATTTTTCGACCGGAACTCATGCGTCGGGAACATTTGTAAACGAAGATAATGGTCATTTTGTGATGGGGATTTGTCCTGTTCACATCCAGCTCTCACTCTTTAGTATGTTAGTTTATTTGCCTGTAAATCAGCCGAGATATGTCTTATTTTATTTTATAACACTTGTGAGTACGAACAAATCTTGATCGATCCTATAGGAGTCCCATGTGATCAACGCTGACCTCACCCCAAGTTTCGCTTCTCAGTCCAGCCGTTTTTCTGTTCTATATAAATGATCTGCTTAAAAGTATACTCCGATCATTTATGAATATCTATGCTGATAGATACAAACGTATAAAGGGGTGCACCACCAAAACCCTTGATCATCAGAGCTTGGCAGCTGATCTCTCCTCTGATCTAGCTCTAATAGCTCAGTTTTACAAACTGGTCACATTTCAATACCTCATAGAGCAAACTAGTTACATTCCATCATCACTGATCAGACCCGGAACTGTCATCAATCATGAAGAATGGATGTCCCCTCAGTGAGGCCTCATCCCTTGAGCGACTGTTGGGTCTTAAACTAAACCCAGACCTCAAGTGGAACTTGTGCATATGATCCATCACTAAATATGCAGGAAAAATGGCCGGTTCTCTGTACTGCTTCAGTAAAGTACCTAGCTCCACCTGCTATCCTCTGCCTTTACAGGAGCCAGATCAGGCCGAAAATGGCGTACTGTTGCTATATATGAGCAGGAGCTGCCAAGTCCTCAATTTCCAATCGAAATAGTGTCCAAAAGCATCCCTGCGTCCTTGTGAGTGACAAATTATTTTCCATCCAACAATCCTTTCTCACAAAAGAAATGACGCAAGCTTCTCATTGTTCTATCACTATTTCTATGGAAAGTGTTCAGATGTTCTTTAGTTCAACCAGTTCTAACCATTGTGGCTAAGACCTGGCATGCCACGCCCATTGCAGTGAACCACCCTTATTCCCTTTGTATTCCAAGAGGATGTTTTCCCGATCACTCCAATATTAACCTATTCAAGTCTAAGGTTAACCAATTATTCTCATAAACTGTGCCTCTTACTCTTTAACCCTCTACCTTGAGACGCTCCTGGGCCTTGTATAAGATGAACCTCACTGTAAAAAAAAAAAAATTGATTTTTAATTTCATGCTAAAATAACTAATATCACATGACACTTACAATGACAGTGATTTGTCTTTTCATTAGCCAATCACCATATTTGTTTTATTCTATGTTTGATTAAACTTATTTTCTCATTGTTTGTAAATTCCAATGCGAGAGCCATGTATTTGATCTACAGCTAGGCAGGGAAAAGAAGCTGAGTAAAATTTCCTTTTAACCAATGTAAGGGAGTGGGGATGATTCAAGCCTGTGTATGTGACATGACAGGCCCTAGATGTAAAGGTCTGAACTGGGGGGAAATGAAGAATATAATTCATGAGTACATTTCCATGAAAATAGCAATAGTTTAGCAAGAGGCTAATAACGTTTCACCTGTGAGAAAGGAGCCATGAACACCTTCGATTAGTCATGGTGCCAAATATAACACAGCAAGGTGTTAGGAATTGAGGTATAATGTTTTGCAAATGTGGGTGTTCCATCTGCCAACATGAAGTTCAGTAGCTGGCACATTTCTCCCCCTTGAACTAAAAATTTCTGTGCTACTTATGTTTATGATAGCTGTCGATGACGTAGGGTGCAAACATAGCTGTAAGCTAAAATTCATACCTACTCGACGAGATAAATGTTCATGACAAGGAAAATGAATGGAGGGAAAAAAAAAAACGTATTTTCAACCAATCATTTTTTAGGTCCGCTACACATTTGAATTCTTAGTAGATATCTCGTTTATTTTTTATCATGAATTTGACATCTACTACCCAGGGCAGTTGAAAGTCTTATTAAGGAAAATATGCCTCTTGACAGAGATTAGACCTTTTTTTCCTTTATCCTGGGTAAAACCACCTTTAACACACTGACTGTCAGAGGCCAATTATGAAATATAACTTCGTTTATAATAGTCAACTCAGGCAATAAATTTTTTTTGAGTTGATTATGCCTTCAACTTAAGTCTGAACATTGTTTTCACAATAAAAGTATCATCAGGGGAGCCAGAAGGGACCAATGCCCACCCCCAAAATTTTGGCTGGCCCCTTGGTTGCCCCCGCCACACTTTTTTAAGTTTTGTACAGGAAAA